AAAATGTGCCACATGTTATTTATGTATTCTCAGACATAATGACCTTGTGAATTCACATAATATACTGAGGACAAAAATGTTTTGAAAAATGACAACAGGCCTGGTCGGCATAAATTCGGGCCGATATTTGGGTCGACAAAAAACTAACCCTTAAACCCTAGGGTTCAGTTCACAGTCAATCGCACACACCCTCCCCCCCGCCCCCCTCCCCCACTACGGTAGCGTGTCGGCATAGCTTGCATGACACGCCGTCGTAGCCTTATTGTGTCTGAGCACAGTCGCCTAGCGACCCTGCCCCGTGTACGTCTAAAAAACAGAAAGAAAAGAAGAAAAACTAACTATGCGCACAATATGTGCGCATCACGAGAGGCTTACTCTCCACCCCTATATGGGAGGCGGAGCCGCCCATTCTACCTCACCCTTGAGGGTTTGACTACGGCAACTAACGGCGAGCCGGCACTTCCACCCCGTTCTCGGACAACTGCGACTCTCCCCAAGCCAGGAGGCGTCCTCACCTGTACGTTCCCGACTGATCAAAGGCAAAGCACTTCTCCACGTGGCGTTTGAAGTTTGCCCTCATCTGCTTATCCGAGAACATGTGCTTTAACAGCTTGTTCCATCGCTTGTGAGGCACATGCTTACCCTTAGACCCTGGTACCAACGGTGAGTAGCACTCCAGGTCCGCCTCGTCACACCACATTTGCCACCTGCCCCAGACCGAGCTCATAGCAGTAGACCACGTACGTGCCTTCTTGGTTCGACAAAGGCAGTGTCCTATCGCCTGCTCGTACCCATCCTTCTTGTCACAAAGTGGCGAATGGTATAAGAGCCAACCTCGTACGGACCATTCAGGCAATAACGCATGGGCGTCCTCGCATATGCTTCCTTCGCAAGTTTCCCAATGTGCGGTTTCAGCTCCGCCCTAAGAAACTTGCGATGAGTGCCGTCCGCCGTTCCCACCACATGAGTGGGTGGAGCCTGCACTGACACCACCATCGCTGGGCCACCCCACCTTGCTGACAGGTCGTGTGACTTGCCTCGCAACCGATACCATACTTGCGAACCTACCGGCAACTTCACACTTGATGTTGGCACGGGTCAGCTGTTCTAACTGAGCACGACTGTCCCGGACTGCCTCCCCTTCTCCGATTCGAACCGATCTTGTAGCTCCAGTCGCTTCTGACCGTTGAAGTCTCTGCCCGTCATATTGAAATAGGGCGAGAAACCCGTGAACGAATTACGCGTAGCATTGTAGATCCTCACCATCTCGTAGACCAGGTGCAACCAGGCATGCGGAGAATCCTCTGCTGCTTCTATCTCCCTGTGCAACCAGTCCTTCATCGTCTTGTAGAAATACGGCCTCCGGTCAGTCTATAATATCAAGATCAATTGAGATAATACATTGGTTTTTATTTGTACTTTAAATAATTTAATACAAGCTCTTTTTCCAATATTTCCAAAGTGTTCTAAATGCACTTTGATGGCTCCAATAGCCTGAGTATTTGGTATGACTCATCTACTTGGACCTATTTGAGACATTCGTAGATGTAGGATATTATAAACTAAATTTTATAATCTCCGAACTACTACTTACAGATTTTGGTCCTCCCGCCAATCTCCAAAATCCAATAAGTCTTTTTCTTTTTTTACTTTTCTTCAGATGGAACTTTATTAATATCAGCTAATGTATTAACGTGACTTACGTTATTATGTCTATCTACAAATTAGGCATGTGGTCATGAACACTTAGTACTTCTAGTGAAAATTATTCAATAAAGAACAGCTAGAGGTATGTCCTGTGTGATCGAGGATATTTAGGCTCTTAACAAGAGGCAGTCTCGATCATTC